GGGCAGCAGTTATTTTCGAAATGTCATTACAGTTTGTTCATTTGATAAATTATAAATTATTAATGTAAAATTCAGTTAGTATTTACAAGAATGTCATTAAATTGCATTCGATAGCTGTCAGAATGAATATTCTCGTTAAAATAGGATATCCGAAAGTGTTTGCAATTACAATACTTCCTTTACTTTGTACAAGGAAGTAAAAAAGGAAATTTTTATTGCAATGCTTAATCAACTAATGCTAAACTAAGCAAGTATATAGTGTAAACTATCAATCTTTTTATTCAATTTTCATTTGCAGATATTTATTATGAGTATTCTACATTAAGTTGAACACAAGATCTAAATTTGTTCGAAGCACTGCAATGTATTCATTAACCTTCAGAGATATTGTCTGTGAATTTTGATAGTAAATTTAGACCTTTTGGGATAAGCTCAGGCATAAGAAAATACTAACTGAATTTTACATTAATAATTTATAATTTATCAAATGAACAAACTGTAATGACATTTCGAAAATAACTGCTGCCCATTTCTAATAGTATATCCATCAACTGTACTCATCATCATATTCTTCAAAGACCAAATGACTTCCAAGTGTCCTGAATCACATAGCTTTACTTTTTTGCTTTATTGATACCGTAAGATCTTGCAACTGTAGAATAATTAAAGGATAACACTAGAGCTGAAAATCAACCGCTTTGATGAAGATTATTCCACAAAACTTCATAAAATATTGGAAGGCGATTATCATGATTCCAGTGACATGTATTCCTACGATAGTTTAAAATTTGATGTTAAGTATACCATAAAGTCTGCAGTCACCCTTGAAATTCCAAATGGTAAGCAAAATGTTCAAAAGGTATAGCTGCTGGCTAATGCCTTATTTATTAATCCCAGTGCTATTTATATTTTTGCTCTGAAATTTTTACTTCATTGTACAAAGTAAAATTGAAGTATTGTAATCGCAAAAAATTTGCGGTATAATATTTCAACGAAAATATCCGTTTTTACCACCATCAAATGCAATTTAACTATGTTTTTGCGTGACATCTGTATGTAAGGGCAGAATAAGAACTCTTTTCCCCCAAAAAATTATAAAACTGATTTATAATGGATTCTGAAGAGATTTTTTTCATGGGGTCTGTACCTATGTATCTCACATAACTCAAAAACGAGTAGGCTCAGAATGTTTAAATCTTGTATATAGGACTGCTATAACATGTAGATATGCACCTTCCCTTTTGAATGCAATCGGCTGCACCAAAAGTATATAAATATTTGTATATATATCCATTCTGTTATAAGAATAAAAAAAACTGGGCTCAACAAACTCAGTTTCTTTATTCGTATATGTTTGTAAATTGTGCATTTTTTGCTTTAAAAATGATTGAATTATGTTGTTCTTATCTTCCAGTTAAGGTTTCTATGCCTTTAATTGACCTGCATGTTGTAGTTGTGAAATTATCAACAATTTAAAAGTTTCTTTAGTGTGGCTAAACCTAATTTGTGTACCATAGCAGCATAGTACCATACCATATTTGTTTACATTTGAAACTTAGGAGAATAGTAGATTTGTTGCCAATCCAGACAAATTAAGCTTCACATCACCAAAGTAACCTTCTTTTATTATTGAGAATTAAATTATGCTTAATCCATTCTGGAATTATCATTTAAGTTATTAAATTATCCCATATATTGAATCAGCATAGCATCCACAACAAATTAAGGCAGTTTCTAGGCTTTCAGTGCCTTTTTGACGAGTGGGACCAAAAGTAAACTTTTAGTTTTGTGCACCGAAAAACTTGCCTTCTAACCCACTAACTACAAAGACTACCATATCAGCTGTTATTCAACAATAAAGCCATTTGCAATGCTTAAGGAATTCAAAATGTTGGAAATTTACTGTTTGGCTGTCAATACAGAATTTTTTTAACCACGTGAAGTTTACTTATCTTTTAATCTGTATTCAAAGCAGTTCTTGAAAAAGAAAATTATTTTGTATGCTTTTTCCAGTTATATATATTACTTTTCCTAATTATGGAATTTTATAAAAACATAAAAAATGTTAATTAAAAAACTGCAATTTCTCTTCCAGATGTCTTGATGTTGTGTTTCACTTATAGCTAAGTCTTCATTTGAGCAATTATTCCTAATAGTCAAAAGTCTTTAATACGGACGTCCATAATCCGGACCTCAAAGCTACAAACTTTCTGCACATGCGTCAACGCATGCGCATAATACCTTTACGCATGCGCGTTTAATGTATAACAGATGGTATAAGCTAAGCTAAAATTATCGAATTATCTATTTCAGTTAATGTTGCAGATTACATTTTTCCTTAATCTTCTAATTGGATTCGGCTTATTATTTTTTGCAGACTGTTAGAGCAATTTTATAAAAGTAAGCTTGAACTTTCGATTATGTCAAAAAGAATTTCCGATTCTGGAGCTACCAGAGGATCTACAAAGCGAAAGCATGTTTCGATGTCCATCAAACAAAAAGTGGAAACAAAAGTACAAAAAATGGATAAAGGCATATCCTTTGATTCTCTAATCATTCCGAAATATGTTTATCAATTTCACGCTTGTCTGGGGGGGGGGATGACGCGGCACTCAATGAACTGGAAGTTGATCTGTCAGCACTATCCTTATCTTCAGGACATATGTTTTTATTTTATTTGGCTTATAATTTCTTACTAAATGTAGTATTCCATCTCGATGTACTCTCTCTTTGATATGATTTAAATCAAATTTGTCGTCATTATAAATATCGCAAATACACATCAAATAGTTTTCTGGTTGCAACTTTCTAATTTCGACTATGCGTAATGTATGCTTTACGCATGCGCGCATTGAAAGAAATGTTTAATAAAGTAAACAAATAAATATAGGTTTTTTTTGTAAATTTTAATACCCTTTAGATCATAATTGCTCTTTATTTCAAAAATTATGGTTTCATATTTTTAATTTTGTAATTTCTGCATGCCATCTTACCAGATTTAAACTGATGATCTATAATTTGGAAAAACCGGTAATCCGGAATCGCTGAAGTCCCGACGAGTCCGGATTAAAGACTTGTGACTGTATTTTGATTAAAAAATTTCAGCAGATGGTTACAGAGTTCTTTAGAAGAGTTTTTATATTTTAGTATATGTTCTTTTCCTTCCAATCTTGTTATATATATTCCTGAACAATTAGTTTTTAAATTCATATATAGTGAAACCTCATATAGCTAAGTATTATTATGTACTGGTATTTTTCAGCTACGAGATTTTGATTAAAAAATTTCAGCAGATGGTTACAGAGTTCTTTAGAATAGTTTTTATATTTTAGTATATGTTCTTTTCCTTCCAATCTTGTTATATATATTCCTGAACAATTAGTTTTTAAATTCATATATAGTGAAACCTCATATAGCTAAGTATTATTATGTACTGGTATTTTTCAGCTACGAGAAATTGGAATGGAAAAGCATTTATCATTGAAAAAAAAAAAAAAAATAAAGACATTCATTATAAGTTTTCCTTCTTAGCATTAAAAAAATATATATATATATATATAGTAGATTTTTTTTTAATACAAATATTTTATTAGTTTTCGAAAAAAAAATTCCAGTAATGATGTAGTATGCAATCTACCACTTTTAGTTAATTATTTTTTAAAACCATTGAAATTTGTTGTTGTTTTAACGATTTCTTTTTTGTACCATTTTAACATGTGTTGAATATGAAACTTACCGAGGCTACCTCAAGCACATGATACAAATGAGCCATTTCTGTGAGGAAAACAAAAGTGGAAAAAGAGCTGCATGCTGCTTGGAAATGAGGAAATAAGGAGTTGTATTTTGATGCAGCAAAAATGAATGAAGGAATCATGGCAAACAAATAGAAAAACCCTGGGTATTTAGTTGACATATTGAACTGATAAACTCAAAAAAAAAAAAAAAAAAAAAAAAAAAAAATTTTTTTTTTTTTTTCATCGAACGAAAAAATGCCACAATCCTCAAAATCCACCTGGAAGCAATACCTGGTTCAATTATCATAAGTGAGAAACAGCCATCTTTTAAGTGGCTGGGCCAAGTCAGTCCTGCAGTTGGTACTAATACTCTAACAAGTTAATTGTTTTGGGAATTTTGAAGCTAAAGATTCTACATGACATGCAGAATGCAAATACTTCCATATTATCTCACAGAAATATGGAGATCCATTAATAAAAGTGATGACTATTTTTTAGTTATGCTGTGCAAATTCATAATGTGTACAGCTGAATCACTCGTAAAAATGATCCTTTTAACCACTTGCGCTACGACTAAACTTCACGGTTGCAGTACGGTGCGCAACAATATAACAAGCGGTAAGGAGTCTCATTTACTCCGCTCCACGTCTGCGAGTGCAATCCAGAGCTGTAAGAGAAATAAACAATCTCGTTGTTAGATGACATGTGCACCACGTTATTTTCATTTTTGCGATAAATGCCTATCGATGTGGTGTTCACGTCGCTCGCGGTTTGAGACAAAAGCATCTCGATGTGCGTGGCACGTCTTTTTAGCGCAAGTGGTTAATGACACTCCTCAAAATTTAAATACAATCGTTTTCATTTATATATTCTTATTTATTTGTACTTTTTATATTAAAAATAGTTTTTTGTGGCATCTTTTAAGAAATAACTAACTAACTAAAAGCGGTAAATTGCATACTACAGATAATTACCGAAATTCCATTGGAAAGAGCGAGATATATTTTATCAGGATCTAACCATATGAATGCAGGCTATAGAAATTTAAGTGTTTTTTTAAATGAAATCTGTATTTAAATTTAAAGGTACAGAATGGAAAACAAATTCAGCTTTTTCTTAGTATTGAATCAATATTATAACACATTTAGTATTATTTTTTGGTATCAATATTAAATATGAATGTTTTACCATTTCATTTTTAAGCATGAAATTAATAGCTAACATGTTTTATTCTGCAATTATCTACAGAAAGTTAATTTCTTTTAGAAAAGAGAAAAGCGCATTTATGGAAATTGGAAAAAACTGATCAGAGGTTTACTTATAAGGGAGCGAATTAAATTGAAATATGATACAAAATGAGCTGAAGATTTCATTTGAATCATCTTACACTCCAAAAAGCTATTCAGCATCATTCCAAAGAAAATTGTATTTTAGTTCAATTCTCTATTGTCATGTTAAATACATTGTTACATTTTTAAAAGCTTTTACTTTGTACATAGAATTGTATTTGCATAAGCAAATGTTATGATCAAATTAAAGCTTGGCATATTACCAGAATTGCATTTTTTAAGTTATGTTTTTAAAATATATTTACGAAGTTTTAAAAAGTTTTCAGAAGTATGCATACTGTAATAATTCTGCATTTCAGAATTTATTTTATGAATGTAAATAATGTGCACTTAATTTTTATAAGTAATGCTAAGTGTATTTTCACTCTTTCTCATTTAAAAACTTTTTGGAATAAAATCAAGAGCCCTCTTAAAATTTTTAGAAATCTATAGAAAAATTTTATATATTTATCAAAAAAATTATTCCTTATTAGTTATAATTACTTCTATCATTATTATCAAAAACACTGTAGGAGCCAATACAATTAATCCCTTAACTGCCACAGACGTATAGATACGCCCTTCCAAAATACTGTCATTTGCTTTGTGCTCCTACCTGTAAAATTATTGGCAAAACTTTGGAGTGCAACACCACAATGACCTTGAAAAAGTATGCGAAAGATGATACTATTTCAGAGAAGTGTGGGGAGAAATTGGAGAGAGGGGTGTGTCTAAAGCGATGAAAGTAATGACTGCGCGGTATTAGCTGGTGTTGTTCAAGTAAAACATTTTTTTTTTTTTATTGTGTGTCCTCCGTTTTCGTTTACTTTTTGTAGTAGGTTTCAGGAATAAAGAAAGATATAATGGATTTTTCAAACCCATTTTATCTTTTTGAATTTTTTTTTTGATGAACTGCTCATGCTTCATATTGTTACTGAAACTAACCGTTTTGTAAACGACTATATGAGCTAACACCTTGCAAACGAAAAATCAAGAACAAAATCATGGCATTCAACCAGTTCAGAGAAATATGTTTTTTTAGGCATACTGATTTCTCAGGTATAACACTGAAACCTGATATTACACTTTACTGGTCTAAAAAGTCGATCAAAACTCCATTTTAGAGATTTTTGATTATTTTTTAAACACTCATTTTTATTATACTTTTACTCAAAACATTAAATTTTGTGCATTCATTTTTTCTTTTATTCTTTACTTTGTGATAGTAACAAGGTTTTAGAAAGTAAAACTTGCACATTCCCCCCCCCATACATCGCATAACTACGCGCGCCTGTGTGAAAAACCGTGGCACTGGGAAATGAATCTTGTATGTTTTCCGCGGCAGTTAAGGGGTTAATATCATTATTCATAAATTATATTCATTAGATTTTTAAAAGCAGCCTATGGTTATGAAGGTCACTTTTGAACTTACAACATAAATTTAAGTAATTAAGTAAAATTTCCATACATGAAATACAGGGTTATTAAAAAAAATTTGCCCTTGTTTAATTGCTTTGTATTTCTCAAAGTATAAATTGGACATGAACAATCTGAAAAGAGGAAGTTTTAAAGTTTGTGTACACAGGTCATAAATGTTCAATGTGTCCCCCCCCCCTGTTGCACGGCAAGCATCTGAGGAGTATGCAAACTCGTCCCATACATGAAAAGATTTGTTTTGTGTTAATGATTGCACTGCAGCAGTGACACGTTTTCGAAGATCGGCAACAGTTGTTGGTAGTCATAGGATGTAAACAGCCTCCTTAGCATAGCCCCGCAAGAAAAAGTCACACGGTGTGAGATCCAGAGATTACAGTGGCCAGACATTTAAGAAGCTGATCTTGATTTCTCATGCAACGTATCCATCGCTGAGGAAGGGATTGATTTAAAATCCTCAAACATCACAGTGCCAATAGGGTGGAGCTCTGTCCTGTTGGAAAATGAAGTCGTGAATCTTTGGTAAGTTGAGGAAAAAGGCCATTGTTCTAACAAGTATATTATTCCACTTACAGTACTTTTAGCAAAAAAGAATGGTCATATACTTTCGTCCATGATTCAGCACAAAACACATGCAGCTTCGCCAAGTCTCACTCAGACGGGCATTATGCAGACCCTAATGTGTCGATTCAGTTTGCCACTAAGTTGGAACAAAACTTTATCACTAAAAATTAAACACAATTGAAACGTGTCATATCACCACAAAATTCAATATGCTTTTCTATTTCGTTCTCACTGAGAGCCTGCACAATTTGTAAGCGGTGGGGCTTGTACAGTAAATGCAGTCTCAAAGCATGCCATACACTTGGTTGAAATATTCCTAGTTTTTTACTAGCTCTGTTAGCTGACTTCAGGGGTGTTTGTGCTCCGGGGAAACCCCGGAATTTCAGGGATTTTGAACTTCGATTCCAGGGATCGTCGTTCAAAAGGAAGTAGGAATAATAATGAATTATTTATTTTGATCTGGGTAATTTTGTTTGCTTTGAAAGCAGAAAACGCAAGGTCAGTGTGTGTGTGGTGAAAACTTTTCCTTCCTTTCTCCAAAGGCAGTGATAATGCGTGAAAAGGGGGAAAAACTTCTTTTTTGTTCTTTCCTTATTGCGAGTTATGACTCATTCCCCCGGTTCTCGGACATTCTCTTCTGGATCTTTTCGACAAGTAGGGCGGCAGAAAAAAAAGGGAGAGACTCGTTCGACCAGATGTGCGATCACGTGACTCTGGGTTCAACAAGGTCTTATCTCTCTCCTGGCGTGGCGCCAATAAGTAGAGAAGGGGGATTTTTCGCCGTATTAGCAATTTGACATTGATCACTTCTCAACTTTTTTTCTCCGCTGTGTAAAATTTCGTTTCATTATTGATGCACGTGTAAATTTTTCGTTTCATTTATTGAAATATTTTTTTATTTATGTAGCAAGAGAATTTCACTATGAAATTTTCTCGATATAAATAGTGATATTATACAATTAGAAGAAGGTGTCCGGAATGCATTTAGGTGGAATTGGATTGAACGAGAGGATGGTAATGGGGATACCATCGGCACATGGTGCAAGAAAATAAATGTTTGCTGGGACAAGCAATTGTGTTTTTTGTAATCACTGCTGAAGTATGGTGGGGAAGGATTCAAGGCTTTCACAAATCATTCTAAAACTGTGACGCACATAAAAATTCAAAGTGCATTAGACATTCAATGATTTAAGTAATTTGCTAATTAAAAAAAAATACTGATGACTTACTGGAGACTGATGCTCGGCCATTGGATATAGTGACAAGAAAAGCACGCCAAGAGGTATTAATAACTTCATTTATCGCCGAGAATTCTCCTTCTTTCAATGTAGCTCCCAATTTAATTGAACTCTGCAAACAGTTGAGCCGCGATCAGACGGCACTAAACTCGTTGGAAATGTCCAGGACTACTGCATGTTACAAGATGAAATACGAGCTTGCAAAAACTATTAAGGAAAATATCATTAAAACTTTAAAGGAGACTCCATTTTCTCTAAATTTGGATGAAAGTACTAGCAATGCTCAAGAAAGTATACTGGCAATATTGGTGCAGTTTTATGACAACAATCAAAATGAAGTTGTAGTTCATCATTTTGCATCTCTAAAGATGGAATCTTGCAATTCAGAAGCTGTTTTTAAAGCAGTTGTTAATACTATTGAAGATAATAATTTCCATGGGCAAACTTAATTAGTGTATTAATGGACTCTGTAACACCATGCGTGGAAAAAAAAAAAGGGTATTGAAACCAGATACGATCAAACAAAGCACCCCACTTATTAGATATTGATGGTGACACATGTCCACAGCTAATAACTGTGCAAAAAAATTTTGCTTCATGTTTGATAGACTTAGAAGATTTGTTTGATGACATCTATTTTGATATGAAAAAGCTGCAGTAAAAGAGAAAATTTTTTCAAAAATCTGTGAATCCCTTGCCATTAAAAAACTTACCCTTGAAGAGACCAGACCATAGGTGGTGTACATTTTATGTGTTTTAGAAAGAATCAAAGATCTGTGGGATGCTCTTATTGCATTTTTATTTTCACTACTTGGATAAAAAATGATAAAGGGATTATTTTCTTATGTTGAAACTGTATACAAATAAAAGGAATATTTCTGCAGCTCAAAAAAAATTGTTGAAGGGGTGATTCTGCTTGCATTCCCAAACTCACAAAGGATGCTTTAGCTCGGAAAAAAAGAATACTAATGGTATTTGTTATGCAAACAAAACTTATTGCATATGCATATTCAGCAGTATTACCAGAGTTCAACACATATATTAAATTATTGAACAAAAAAAAAAAAAAAAATGCTTCATTAATACATTCCAGTATTATAAATTGATGGCAAAATTTTCTCTTTTTTTATGAAGCCAGAAAAATATAGTGCACATCTTATAATGATTTATTAAAGGTTGATGTCACGAATCCAGAATTCCATCTACCTAGCAAAGTAATATTATGGTGCAAGCTTCACTCTCTGAAGAAATTATCAAAAAAATCATCCAATAGCAAAAGAATTCCAAATTTCTCTGATGAAAGCTTATACTATACAGCACAGCATATGAAACAGAATTACCCCTTAAAAATTTATATCTAATTAGTTTTACAGCATTAGATCCAGAGCTAAGAGGTAAAACCAGTACAATATATTAGCTTTTGGAAAATTATCATCTTTAGGTCCCATATTTTAGTGATAATGAAAAGTAAAGTAGAAGCTGAAATAAGGTTATACCAGAGTGATATTGATATCACCAAGAAATGCTCTACACATCTGATGAAAGTGGGAAATCAAGTTTGTACAATGATAATATGGTCTAAAGTTTTTAATTTAAGATGATTTCACAAATGATATAAGTATCCTACATGGGCTAAATTGGTCAAAGCTGCCTTAGATGCTTCTATGGCCCATAGTGGAAAGTGCATTCAAACTTAAGGATAACTTGTCACTGACTAGAGAACCTCTCTAAGATTGATTCCCTAGATGCAGTGCAGCATATTAAATATGATTTAATGGCTTTCTAAAGAAACCTCATGTGAAAAATATAGCTAAAAAAATCCAATGACTGATCCAATTCACAAAGATCTCTTACTGAAATGATAGAGTTGGAAACATATCAGAGGACTTAAAAACATGTATTCAGATGAGTCACCTATAAAAGTCTGAAAAGCCTTCTACATTAGCAGAAAAGCAAACTGCTCTACCTGCATGTGCAGTTCTTGAGGAAATGT